GGGGTGGGGGGGTGGGGGTGTCTAAATTTTAGAAAATCTCAGCGCCTGACATATACTGAAGGGGTAAAATATGTTGGTAAGGTTTTCTGAGACTTCTGTATTCTTCTGAAAAGAAACAACCACTATTGTTATAAGGATGGGAGTTGACAGAAGTAAAGTTATAATGGGGAGGAAATCTGATGGAAAGCCTTAAAGCGCAAGATGGATCATATCCAGATGAGCCAAAATTATCTGAACTAACTGAAGATAAACATTTTAAATAAAATAAAATGCAATAAAATAAATAAAAAACACAGAAAGAAAATCACACATTTTGATATTATGGCTTTAACTGAATCAACACTATTCATTCCTCTACAGCACATTTACTTCTTGTTTCCTGTACCTGTGGGGTCCAGCCCCCCAGCACATAGAGATGCTCCTTCAGACTCACGGCGCAGTGGCAGGCTAAAGGAAGAGGTAGAGGAGCGAAGCTGAGCCAGCTGCCTCCTCTCTTCAGTGACCATCTTGCCACGCTATCAGTGATCATGTAGTGATTATGCACCTTCATCTGACCACCCATCAAGTACAGGGCATCTCCTACCAGCCCTAAAGCATACATGTCTCTGTAGGGAGCAGAGCACAGCTCCATCCAGCTCTTCTCCTCTGAGTTCCCATACCTGCAACATAAACAGGGAATCAGACAAGGAGCTGGTTGGAAATGATATCTCTGAGAATAGATACAAACCTGTAAAAATCAAGCCTCCTCCTCCTTTGTTGATCTTCTGACTCCACAGCCACCAACACGTTATTGTCTCTGGTCACTGCTCCTGCTGTGATCTGCCCCTTCCCTCCAAAGTCTCTCAGCGGAGAGGGGATGTAGTAGATCTTTCCCCCGCGAGGAGCAAAGCAAAAACTCAGGTCAGCCTGTCCTCCACGCTGAGCAGGAACACCCTCCGTGTTCACTCCGCCCAAACAGAGCAGAAGGTCTGTCGTCTCCATGCCGTATCGAAGAGCTGGGCGAGGTGGGGCCGATGCCTCGCAGAGAGCCGAGGTCTGGAGAGCAGCATCAATCATCCCGAAGCACTCAGAATCCCGCAGCAACACCTATGGTTAATTTTTCAGGCATGAATAAGCCTAATAGTCGTATTTTTGAGACAAATCTAGATGAGAAATGTTTGGTCCTTCTTCTCTCCCACTCCCCATCTCACCGGGTTCTTTCTCCTTGCTTTTCGGAGAAACCCAGGGTCTACAAGCTCCAGTCGCACCCGCCTCAGTAACTCCGCAGCCTGGGCTTCGCTCTGAGGGTCATTCCTGCGCCTCTCCACCCAGTGCAGCACCAGCTTCAGCACGACCTCCTCCTGGGGTACATTGAGGTCATCCGAAGCCAAAAGGTCTCCGAGGTTTTGGGCATCAAGCTCCAACAGTTCCTCTTCATGACAAACCTTCAGAAAGCAGAACGAAGGAGGCAGCATTAAAGGAGAGCAGGGAATAGAGATGGAAAAAGAGGAATGAATACAGAAATAAAGGCAAAACTTGTGATGAGACAGGATCTAATTAACACCACTGACAGTTTAAAAAAATCAATAAATTCACAACATGTTTCAAACAGGGTTTTGATGACTAATATATTGAGAATTTATCACTGCGAGTAAGGTAGGCCAATTTTAACATAAAATTGGCTTTGCCTCACTGTCTACATTCTAAATATCTAAAAATGAGTTTTGACAAGCAACAACTACATTTTGACTATCCTGAATGGTAATTTAAGATATACAGTAAGCTAACATTCTGACTACTCAGAAGAACATTTCAAGATGACTTAAAAAGATTTTTGAGAAGTCAAAATATAATTCAAGATGACTAAAATTATGCCACTGGATTTGTCATTTGAAGGGTCACACATCGGTAATTACAATTCAAGGTACTGCAAACGTATTTATGTCTAGTTAAAATTACATTTCAGATAGCTATCTGAAATAAAGAAGCCCCCCTGATGCCGTCCAAACAGTTGCCTGTATAATTTTGTGTGCATGGCTGAAGTGACAGGCAATAAACTACTTGTTTTTTATTCATGCTTAGCATAAAGTGCAGTGATAAAAATTGTGTTAAAACACGTCTATTTGAGTTGGACTGACCTGACACTACAGACCACTGCAAATTAAGGTAACRCTAKTGATTTAGTAAGGCTAAAATCTCTYATAAACATTCCACCAAAATGCCACATAAATCTGTGATGTTTTGACTTGACAGGATAATTATTTAAGATATYCTGAATATCATTTTCACTAGTCAAAATGTTAATCATTTACTTTTAAGATATCTGCAATTTAATTTGCACAAGTCAAATCTTACTGTTTATAGGTATGTGGTACCTAAAAATAAGTATCTTGAATAACGACGTTACTTAATGGTAAAACTGAAGTCATTTATACTGGCCAGAATTCAATTAGAGATATCTCAAATTGGTATTTTACCTAGTCTATATATATA